TTTACATCAGAGTGCGCGTCTTTCACGCAGCATACAGCGGTGTTGTGCATTTTGACCAGTTGATGGGAAAAGTATTCTTAAAATGCATTCAAAATTCTGAATAATTTGTAATATATAATTATTCACGGTATGTAGAAGTGCCCACAATAATACTATCGTGCATATTCATTACCGTGATATATCGCATTACCGAATACCGGCACAAGTCTAACACTCACACACACACACACACACACTGTCTTCCTACAGAGAAAGAGACAGGCAGATCTCTTGTTCTTTGTGTGTTTTTAAAATTTCCGATATATAATCATATTTCTATATATACTGCATTCACTATATGGACAATAGCATTGGGTCACGCCTCTTCATGACCAGTGTTGGGCAAGTTACTCTGAAAATGTAATTAAATTACTGATTACTCCTTTTAAAAGTAATCAAGTTACTTTTTTGATTACTTTATTTCAAAAGTAATTACATTACTAATTGTAACGTTTTTCTGTACGTCCATGAAATTTACATAAAAAATTTAGTTTTGTGTCACCTAGTCACAACATCCCAGCATATACGCTTCTGATACATGTTTGTTATTAAAGCATCAACATTCGCAAACCACTTTTATTTTTAACTAAATGCAAGCATAGGCTGCTGCGTACATGGTTTGGCATGTCAGAATGCCAGCAAAGGGCGCTTCCTTTATCTCAGTTCATTGCAGTCTCACAAAGCTCTGTGATAGCACAATAAATATATACATAATGAATCTTTCATAATGTCTACAGTTTGTGTGTTATAATGAGAGGATTCGTGAGCATGCAAATTTCAGCACTGCACAGGAACTCTGAGTGGATTCTAACACCTCTGATTGGCCATTGTGTTCCAGAAATCAACATTGCTCAACGCTGCAAACACGTGTTATAAATAGAAACTCTGCCTATGCTTGCGCATGTTAATGGTTTTTATTTTATATTAGTTCTTGTTGCTTTTGTGCAATAGGTGAATAACAATTTATTTGTTTTTTAGATACTTTATGTTTAGATATGTCTATTTTCCAGGAGTCCCGCACACACACACGAGTCTCTCCCCCACAAAAAAAAAAAAAAAAAAAAAAAAAAAATATATATATATATAATTTGGAAATTATAATGCCTTAAATTACTCCGTTACTAAAAAAGTAATCAAATTACAGTGACGCGTTACTAAGTAATGCCTTGCTGCCCAACACTGTTCATGACTGAATTCAGGTTTCAATCAGACCCGTCGCCACAGGTGTGTTAAATCAAGGCCACGCAGTCTGCATTTACACACCTTTGTGAAAGAAGGGTCATTCTGAGGAGCCCAGTGGATAGAAGCGTGATACGGTGATAGGATGCCAGCTTCTCCGTGTGTTTCATCACTGCCGGATGCTCAGCTGTAACTGGAAGTGTTTATGAACAGCAGCGACTCTCAGCAGAAGCTTCATGAATGAATTTTCACGGCATACAGCTGAGCGAGTAAAGCACACAGATACTGGACTCTGGAGCAGTGGAAACCTGTTCTGTGCACTGACCAATCACACAGTCTGACCTCACAAACGATCTACAGTTACATTTACATTTAGTCATTTAGCAGACGCTTTTATCCAAAGCGACTTACAAACGAGGACAATAGAAGCAATCAAAATCAACAAGAGAGCAATGATACACAAGTGCTATAACAAGTCTCAGTTAGCTTAACGCAGCACACGTAGCAAGGTTTTTTTTAATTATATAATAAATAAAAAGAAAGCAGATAGAATATAAAAAGAATAGAGCAAGCTAGTGTTAGTTTTTTTCTTTTTAGAAAACAAGCAGTTAGTAAATAGTAGAGTGCAAGTCTAAAAGGGGCATGTTTTTATTTTTTTTAAAGAATAGAGTTAGAATAGAGCGTGCTAGAGTTAGAGGGTCAAATAAAGGTGGAACAGATGTGTTTTAGTCGTTTCTTGAAGATGGTTAAGGACTCAGCTGCTGGGATTGAGTTGGGCAGGTCATTCCACCAGGAGGGAACAGTTAATGTAAAGGTCTGTGAAAGTGATTTTGTGCTTCTTTGGGATGGCACAATAAAGCGTCGTTCACTTGCAGAACGCAAGCTTCTAGAGGAACATAACTCTGAAGTAATGAATTTAGGTAAAGTGGTGCAGAGCCAGTGGTGGTTTTGTAGGCAAACATTAATGCCTTGAATTTTATGCGAGCAGCTACTGGTAGCCAGTGCAAATTGATGAACAGAGGTCTGACGTGTATTCTTTTCGGCTCATTAAAGATTAATCTTGCTAGATAGAGGTTTGATAGAACTGGCTGGAAGACCTGCCAAGAGAGCATTGCAATAGTCCAGCCTGGACAGAACAAGAGCTTGAACAAGGAGTTGTGTTGCATGTTCTGAAAGAAAGAGCCTGATCTTCCTAATGTTGTATAAAGCAAATCTGCAGGACTGGACAGTTTTAGCAATGTAGTCTGAATGAATCTCATCTAATGGATCTACTGAATGAATAGGCAAAAACTACCACAGAAACACTCAAAAACCTCTTGGAAAGCCTTCCCAGAGGAGAAGGGGACCAACTCCATATTAACGTCTGTTTATTTAGAAAGCTATGTCATAAAAGTCCCTGCTGGTTTAATGTTCAGGAGTCCCAATACCTTTGTCCATATGGTGTATAATAGAGGCTTCATAGAGAGAATATATAACCATGCTCAAAAATAGTTTTTGTTTTTATTAATTATTTATTTGCTCATTTACTTTTTTTTACCTTTTAATTTACTTATTTGCTTCTTTTTTTATTTATGTATTTAATTATTAACTTAAGTAAATAAGATAATATTTATATTTATTTTTGTATTGGTGTACATATTGTTTACTTAAGTAAATAAATATTTATCTTTTAGTTACTTATTTATTAATTACTTACTACTTACTGTTATGTAAATAAGATAAATATTTATTTATTTATTTTTGAACTTATTTATGTATTTAAATGTTTACTTTCCTGGCCTTCTCTGTTCCTCTCTAAATAACATTGCAGCACATTTCACAACATCGATCTCATACATCTAGGATCACAGGACTCATTTCTTTCAAGCAATCTCTAGTGTATTAAGTGCTATAAAAATAAAGGTGACTTGTCAAACTGGACATAAAACTGGACATTAAAAGATGAACTATTAAATAGTTAAACAGCAGTTGACAAGTATCGTGTGATTGTTGATGGTTTAGAGGAGGATGTGAAAGATATTTTGTGTGTGTGTGTGTCTCCTGCTGTCGTTGTGTGGTCTGTGTTTGTATGGTGCACATTGTTTTTGGAGGGAAAACATTATCGAGACAGTATTTCTGACATCTATCTCTGTGTGTGTGTGTGTGTGTGTGTCAGTTCTGCTGGCGGAGCCTGTGGAGAAGGACAGCATTGAGGGCAAAACCCTGAAGATCACAGATTTCGGTCTGGCGCGCGAGTGGCACAAGACGACGAAGATGAGCACGGCGGGAACCTACGCCTGGATGGCACCGGAGGTTATCAAATCATCCACCTTCTCCAAAGGCAGCGACGTCTGGAGGTGAGCAAGTTTCCTCTGAGAAAACACGTCTGCCGTGAGGTCAGCGTTAATGAAAACTGGCGAAAAACACTTATTGATTACCTTTTTCCCCTTGCGTTTGCCAGATTTCAAGGGTTTAAATCCCCTCAATCAGAGCTTCTTCTTTTTTTAAAAGGACTTTGTGTTTAATTTATCTCCACGATCTGGCAACTATACACACACTCTGGAAAAAGTGCTGATGATCGCCTTATTTGCAGCTCTGTTTAATTTATTCACAAACTGGCAACCATTTGCACCACTCTCTCTTACACAGTGGAGATATTCTGAAAATAATGAATGATGAAGTCTTCACATGCATGTTCTCAGCACTTTTAATCATGATTTAGTCTGAGGTTTTCACTTGCTGAGGTTGAAACTGTACATTTTGTACTTCAACTGAGGCTTTATTCTAGCTGCTGATGAGTTGCAGTTATTGCAGTTTATAGACTTCAGTACTAGATGACGTTCTTCTGCTCTTCAGGAATTACCGGTTAACCCACTACTGGAGATCATATGATTAACTCACTGCCGCTGTTACACAGTTATGTAATAATGGCTGAAGTCAGGAGCTAAAGATGAAGCTCTGATGAATCTGTGAAAGGGAAATTCAGACCGAGTGATGTCAAACTGCAGGAAAGAGCCTGAACAAATCATGTTTTACTGATAGTCATTATGTGTTTTCACTTATCCCATCCTTAAACATGACTTCAGGAAGCCATTAGCTAAAAAAGTCATTTGATGTTGTAAAATGTCTATAATTGACAGCTTTGAATTTACAACACAAATCAATGCAATGAAAAATAATGTATTACATCCACTAATGAAACAGTCACTAAAAAAGTTTGAGCTTAATTTGAGCTTTTAAATTCTGTGATTTTTCTATCAGAAAGCTCAGAAAACTGCTGATATATATATATATATATATATATATATATATGTATATATACCATGCATTAAATGCACCATATGAACTTTTACAGCAGTTATAATTAATCAGACATGAAAGGTTTTAGCCTTTTTTGAGCTTTTCAGTGCTGTAATATTCATATCAAAGCATATTGTAAATATAGGCCTGGTTTCACAGACAGGGCTTAGACTAAGCCAGGATTAGGCCATAGTTCAATTAGGACATTTAAGAAATTTTTCATAAACATGCCTTAGAAAACACATTACTGGTGTGCATCTTGAGACAAAATAAACACACTGATATATTTTAAGATCAGTCAGTGCAAGTTTCTTTCATTTGACACAGCTCAGACTTACATTTTAGTCTGGGTCTAGACTTAAAGGTGCAATAGGTGATTGTCTTCAGAAACATTTTTTGTTATGCTGGTTGAAATTCTCTTCACATCCCGATAGCAATCATTAAGTTAAGTGGTCTAAATGTATTTATCTGTATTTATACATTCTGTGGAAGGCATAGGACCAAGAAATGTTCGTCCAATCAAAACGTTCGGTCCGAGCATTTTAATTGGCTTTCCTACCTGCCTGTCTACGTATGTATTGGCATACCTCTGTGCACTTCTACGAGTGTGATATTGCGTTTATACAACAGTTCGATGGCACAAGTGTGTAAATACATAAACAAAATAACAACGGAGTTTCTTTAAAAGCCCTCTTTTGTGCAGAACTACTTCCTTCCGCCACAGATTCAAATCTAAAGTTGACAGTTTAACAGCTGAGCCCAAGCCTCCATTACTAATTACAAAACGTCTCTTTAGAACCAGTAACAAAGGAACGTTGAGTTGCTTCATTGAAAGCTTATTGTATTACTGTATTAAAAGCTGTGTATTATGTATAGTAGAGTATTATGAAGAGACGGATTGAGCGGGTGTGATTATTACCTGCATCTGATCCAGCATTAATTCTTCAGAAACAGTCTCTTGTCGCCATCTAATGGCGGAACAATGTAACTAAAAACTTTTTTGAAACACTGCTTCATGAAGCTTCAAAACCTTTGCGAACCATTTGTTTCTAAACAGTGGTTCGGAGCGCGTATCAAAATGCCAAAGTCACGTGATTTCAGTAAACGAGGCTTCGTTACGTCATAATTGTTTCGAAATTTCAATAGTTTGCCTTTGGGGGGCGATCTCTGATCTCTGAATCCGTGAATCATGTGAGTTCATTGAGCTCGCCTCCCAGCGTCTCTGATCTCGGATCAGTTTTATCAATTTGTAGACATTTTTAACGAGACGTGTGTAATTAAAAGGATGAGTTGTAGTCTCTTACTGGCCTGTTTAAGCTCTCCATAAAACAAACAAAACAAGCCCTGCAAATTAATAATAATTATTTTAAAAACACATATTATACAGACACTTCATATTTAATGGTATTTCATTATTTTGATTGCATTTAATATATTATTCTTTTCAAGAAAGCATTTGCATTGGGTTTGTAAAAAGCAGTTTTTGTTGCATTTACACAGTTTTGACCAGCAGGCGTCACTAGCGTGTGGTGTTTCGAGCGCTTCGAAACGTCGCGAGGAGGAGCTGAAGCGCGCGGCGCTGGAGCAGAAGTCTCACGAGGAGTTCCTGCGTCAGCGCGAGCAGCAGTTAGCGCAGTGGGAGCAAGACGTGTTCGAGCGCGAGCTATCGCTGCTCATCCTGCACCTCAACCACAACCAGAAACCCAACGTCAAGAAGCGCAAGGGAACCTTCAAGAAGCACAAGCTGAAGGTGAAGAACGGAGAGAAGATCAGCATGCCGCAGGGTGAGGCTTCACGTCATATAAAGATGATGATAATTATTACACTCTCTTTATTAATGAGCTGCAGATGCACAGTAATGAGCTGTTGTGACACTAGAATGGAAATGATAAGGGAACATGTAACAGAACACAGAAAACACACACTTCTTCACATCGTTAGTAATAATTAACCGTATTGTACTCAACAGTGGTTTCGCTGTTAAAATGAGACGCCAAAGGTGAACCGGGTTAAAAATGAACTCACAGATATCAACATACTTACACTGTTAATTAAACACAGTACAAAAAGACAATAGTTTTATATTTCTGAAGTCTTATGTTTAAATGTGAGGCATTATATCATTAAACATGCACTCATTTGCAGAAATGTCCAGAACAGAAATCTAAAGTCAGGTTCATTATTCTTGTTTGATTTTGTTGACATATTAGAGTTAAAGGTTTTTACTGAAGGGATTCTGGATTTCTCTTTTTATCAATCCATAAATCAGAAAATACTGTTAACAGATCGAAATAAGTGCATTTTTACCACGTTTTTAGGAATAAAATGTAATAAAAACTCATGTGAATGAAATATGAACAAAGCCCACAGTAAAAACCTTCAGAATGTAGAGAGGTATAAAACTCTAAGTTTTGATGTGTGTAAGGGCTGCTGAAGTGGAGGAAAAACTCTTTAAAGATCTGTATTGTAATTGAAATCTACAGACACGAATAGACCGTGCAATACAATAAACACTTCAATGAGTGTGACGTATGTTTTCTTTCCACTAGTCTGAAAGAAGGCATGTTGTGGAAGCAACATAGAGCAGAATCTCAGTGGTTTTGTCTGTAGTGTGTTGCAGTTGTTGTGTTTGTCGTGATCTGAATGTAAATACTGCTTGTTTTCTGCTGTACAGATTTTATCCATAAGATCACGGTCCAGGCGTCTCCGTGTTTGGAGAAGAGGCGTAACTCTCCGGATCTGGGCTCTCCGTCCATCGGTCCGCGCTTCCGAGCGATACAGCGTGAGTTTGCCTGGACATCTCATTCCTTCACTTATTCTTCCATACCTTACAGAACACTACATCACATCGAACAAGATCTGGAGATTCTCAAATACAAGTGAAAGGCATTAAACAGATTCAAAATTAAGAGGAAGATACAAACGGACAAACAAAGTAATATTTGGTAGAA